TGCTCTTTCTCTACTTTTGTCACTGTCTCTCTACTTCAGAGAAGAAATAAACTCAAACATAACTCTATTTCAAAATAATAATGAGAGAGGTGAGAGAGAGAAATTTGTACACTTAACCTTATCCTGGGGCTGGCAGGTAGTGTAGTGGTTAAAAGTCTGGACTCCCATATGGTTGACTACGGTTTGAGGCCTGGACCTGGTGGCTTGCTTTCTTACTTTCTCTCTCTCTCTCTCTCACCCTCTGTGGTTAAATTTAAATAAATAAATAAAGTTGAATAAATAATCATTCAAAAACATACTTGTCTTAGTTGAAAAATGTTGACCTCATTATTCATTTTTTCTTTCTGAACTCTGAAGAAAATGGGTAATTGCTGCAGAATTTGTATGAGTCTACATCGTCCTGTCTCCAAATGATTGCATTTACTCCTTAAACAGCTATTTATGGAGCTTTCTACCCTTTCCCGCCACAAGATACACAGCAGGCAATACGTGAACTGTTCTCCTAGAATTTATATTCTACTGGAAAGATAGACAATATATATTTTAACTAACTCGGAAGTTGCTTAGTGATAGGAGAAAAACAAAGCAAAGGAAGTGACAGAGAATTTCTAATGGGAGTTAAGACTGTAATCAGATGAGCAGGAAAGACACACTGAGTAGGCAAGGTTGGAACAAAGAACAATCCATGTGAGGTGTGCAGTCATGGGGTTTCCTGGCACAAGAGTGAACCAAGCAGAGATTTTAAACAGGCCTTGAATGGACAGGAAATGTCTGTTCCTGGCATACCCTGAATACCTGGGGGGGCTGCAGAGAGCCAGCAGCAGAAGAGCAGAAATGAGCATACGGGATTGGGTAGATCATGTAGTAGCTCAGGGACTATGCAAGGAGTTTGCTTTTGCCCTGGGTGATGATTTGAATAGGCTGCTGAGAGCATGTCAAGAATTCAATGGGATCTAATGACTTCTAGCTTAAACAAAGTTCAGAGGCAGTAATCAGTGAATGATAGGAAGAATACGAGACTGTGCAACCCATTGAACAATAGGATGAAGAGGTTGCATACAAAATTGGGTGTTTGAGTCTGAAGCTGAGTGAAGAAGTACAAAGTAAAGATAAAATTTGGATGTGTTTAGCATATTCAAGGACTTCACTATCCATGAAACCTAAGCTACGTTTGGTAGACCTTATTAAAAAACATCAGATTTTCCAAATACTTTCTAGAATTTTCTCTTTTCGTTCTAATATTATAAACCTTCTAAGACCTTATAATTTTAAAAATCTTTCCTTTATGTAGTAAAATGGACTTATTTGTTGCTGGAAGGCAACTTTGAACATTAGTGAATATTTACTCATTTAAAACATGTTGTATAAGAGGTAGAAGCAGAATAGCAATCAACATACTTAAAACCTCTATTCTTCATCCACTCAAAAAGTACATTCAGACTACCGTGACACAAAGAAGTCACAGTAACTACTGTTTTATCATTGTCCATGTAAAATCTTTAAAGGTGCATTTTTCATTCTTTCCAATGTGATAGAAAATGTAACCTTTTCTAATGAAGAGTTTCGATAGTTCTCAAAATATCCAGAAATCATAGATAATATTTTTTAAAATTATTTTCAGGTTTTTGCCATAGGGTGCATGAGATTGCTAGAGAGAGACAGGCAGAGACCAGGAGAGGAAAAGTGAGAAATCACCCTCCAAACCCCTGATATGGTGGATGACCATGCCACAATCTCTTCTCTTCCACTCTCAAAATTTTGGGCACACACACACACACACACACACACACA